GAAGCTCAAATTTCGGAATGCATAATTAATCTGGAGGCGTATTTTGAAAATATCAATGAGTGCTGGCAGACGTTTATCTTCTCTCCTCTCGCCCACCCCCCACCTCCTAATTTTTCGACTCGCTCCATTTTTCGCGCGGTCTAATTTTCGCCCAAACTCCGCTAGAACGCCTGCTCTGCAGGCTAAAGTAGCGGTTTCAATTGTGATGTCTGTACTAGTCCTGTTTGGCTTCCACCGACCCGCGGATTATTTGTTTTGATCAAACTTTCGCAACAAAATCGCCAGTCAGTTTGGACCGGATCTAAGGCCTTTTTGATGCAGAGATCATGAACGTAAAAATTTTTAAAACTTCAGCCTGAGTGTCAGGCCTTCCAAAGGGGCTAGAGGAGGGGGAGAAGGCAAAGGAGGGCCTGACACAAATCCATTCAAAGAACCGTGTGACACATCCAAAATCTGGATGTGGCAGTGATTGGATAATACACAATGCCCTCTGACGTCATCTCATTGACCGGAAGTAAATACGAGCAGAGCGATCGACAAGAAGCCATTTGGATTTTTGATGGACACTTAGATGTACATGATATACTTTTATGGATAGAGAGGAATTCAAAAAGGCTCTGGAGGAAGCCCTCAAGTTCTTCCTTGTCTGAAGTTGTAATGGCTTTTACGAGCTCTCTGCGTAGTGGTGGAAATTTTAGAGCAGCGTTAGCTGCTGCTTGATAATTTTCTAGGCAAAGGTGTTTCACCATCGCACCTTCCAATTTATCCTCACAGCTCCTTTCAACCACCCGAGAAGACGAAGGGTAACCAACAAAGACCTAAAGACGAAGAAAATTATGGATTTGTTGGATACAAAAGACAAACAATTTAACCATAAAAAGTTGAAACCTATATGTATCATCTACCCGACTCACCTTTGATATCGGCGGTAAATATGTTTCTGCGGGCAAATTCATAAGGTTAGTTATTTCGTTGTTGACGGCTGAATAATTGTCATCCGGTTTGTTGGCTTCAAAAAAGGATCTTTAAGACGTTTTTCGCTCAGATCGTTGCCCTTGGGTTGTGTCTAAAAGCGATGGTTCAGCGCCCTTTTGACGCTTTGCAGTGGGGGTGATTCCAGTCGGGGTGATTCCAGTCGGCGGTCGCTGGTGTTGAGACACGCGTCAGTAATTTTCTTTCCTTGATTTCTCAGGAGTTTGAAGAGTGTAGGTACAAGCTTTTTCTTAATTTCTGTCATATGATTTTCCGCCTGATGTATTAGTGAACGCCTGCTGTAACTCTGTAAACAGTTTGTAGCAATTCACAATATTCCGGGCGCACTTTTTACAAAGAGAGCGTTGACGATCTTGCAATGACACAATTCCTAAAACACCTAATAATTCCGCAAAAACGACAGGTTTTCCATTACAGGTGTTTGAAAACTCTTTATTGGAGGTCTCACAAAAAAGAGAAACCGTGGCAACGCAAGCACCGCTTTTTGATCGCAGATTCTCGTTGCAATTTTCACCACAGGTGGCCCAAGCTCTGTCGGTCAACTTCGACCCTACTCAAATCTCTCTCAACGGGTCCTCCCCATAGTCTTCTAACACCAACTCTTCACACCTACTAAGGTACCCCGGGTAAACTCATCGACTTGACTAGATCGTCGATACTGTCCATCTTAACTTCATTGTTTTCTTGTTATACTTGATAACAACAGAAATACCGGCAAACGCCAGGTCTGGATACAATAAATGTTCCAGTTAAATCGAAAATTGTGACCATACTTCCACCAAGCATGTAGAAGCGGTCAGAATTTTGATAAACATTTCACTTAATGTGGTTTGGGATGACTAATACCTTAATACAATTAGAGGCGATGAAATTTAAGTAGATTGAAATATGCACAAAGTAATTTTCATGCATCATCAGTTTGTTGCTTAACCGGATTTGAAGAGGGAAAAAACTGCGTGGGTACAATGGGTTTAAATTGGCTGGTTTTTTCTTTCGTGTTTTGCTAATTACCTTTTTAAGCTATTTATTGCTTTAGTGTATAAATCCTAATACAGCATATATAACATGTGTACTGGTGCAAACCATGTAGAGACCCCACTCAAATTCTGGATATTACATCGACAGGGACTTTGTGCAAAGGCTCGCAGTATTCATGTGATTCAGTACCGACTGTATCAAACCTTGTTTGCCTTGAGGAAATAAAAATAGTGGTTTTAATTGTGATGTCTGCACTCGTTCTGTTTAGCTTCCACCGACTCGCGGATTATTTGTGCTTAATTATCAAACTTCGCAACAAAATCGCATTCAGTTTGGACCGGATCTAAAGCTTTTTTGATGCAGAGATAACTGAACGTAAAAGTTATTCAAACTTTGACCATGGTGTCTTAAGCGAATGGAACCATGTCGGATGGGAAATAAAGCAGTTAATGAAAATTTATTTATAGCCAACTGTTAGACTTTCCATATTCTAATTCATTCCTCCAATGATTCCTTCGTTAATAATTCTAATTAAGCACTGCACTGTTTTTGTGTTAAGCTGCCAGTAGTTCGTGGATCATAAATGTCGAGCTGATTCAAAGTTCACATCCAAAACATATTGAGACGGTAACATTTTCGATTAATTCCTATCCACAATCAATGTAAATGAGAGTTCTATCACTTGAAATCTTGGAATGAGTAGACGCATTCCATTTCTTTGAAACCGTAATGTTTATGAGGCTTCTTTAACTCCTGTTTTACCACATTAGGTTTGATTGAGAATCAAAGCGGTGAAGTATCGAAACATCCTTTTCAAACGTTCGTGCCAACATCACATTCCAAACAACGCCCTCACAAAGAGAAAAAAAAAGCTAAGTTATTAGCGCATCTGATCAGGTTATTTTAAGTCACAGCATCGTAAATCACTGTCAGTTTAGACAAGGTAGGTTAGATGTAAGTTTGCGCATCAAAGCCTTTTTTGTTGTTGCAAACCCAACGACTAAAACGCCACGCTGGTATTGCGTAGACTGGACGAACTGATAGAGATTTAGAGGTATCCTGCGATCTATTTATTAGTCAGAAATATTTCTGAGCTCAAGTTAGGAATCAAACCTACACTGAGCTTAATCGGCATCGACTGAGACCTGCACGTATTTAGACGAAATCCACAAAAAAGGTCATGCCGAATGCAGTGAATCACTCATAGTCCAGAGCTCAGTATATTTAGGAACAATACTCGGCTTCGTTAGATAGCCGACCAACTTTTATATAATAATCTCATGTCACACATGTTACTCGTCAGTCATGGCATGGAATTGTGGCACTAACCTCCCTCTAAAGAGCTGACTCTTGGTCTGGCCATTTATAAAATTTGAGATCGTCGCGTATGGTATTGGTGAGCATCCGTTATGTTGAATGCAGCGTGCTTTATGTGAGTTCCATTTGAGGCCTGATTTTTGCCATTCAATTGACATTTTTTTCTTTCGAATCGTCTTGTCCTTAAAAATTGCGGGAAAAAAATGGAGAGGTCAATTTCGGTGATGTTGACTGGATAAGATTGGCCAACAATGCTTACTTTTTGTATTGTCGCACTAAAATCGGGTCATGCTCGAATAGGATTTCGAGACAGAAACCTTTTTGGTTGATTTGGTTGATTAATGTTTTAAATCAATATCAAACTAATTTGAATTAGTAATAAAATAATTGGCAGCGAGTGCTTTCATTTTCGCGACCTTTTCGACGCAGGACACAAGGTCCACACATCCTCGAGTGCGAACAGCTGGTGTCCGTTAACTCTAGAAATGACGCTGCGAATCATTAAATTCATTGGCTACAACGCCTTTCCCTCAAAGTTTTTAAGGCTGGAGGAGTGAAACTGGACGAAAAATCGGCTGCCATGTTGTGTTACTTCCACGTGTCATCGTGGAAATTCTGGTAATAACTATGCCCAGGAGTTGCCGCGTTACAACCGAAAACGGTTGGTAAATTGTTCATGAGGAAACAGCAACGACCTCAACCAAACTGGTTCCGGTTGAGACGGTCGATCCCAAGAAAATAGCCTCACTTTTAATCAAAGGGTAGGCGTCGCAGTTACCTGCGACCTACGTTTATATCCTTTATAAACGTCTTCAGGTTCTCGTATCCCTCGATCTTTGGACTGTAACATGCAAAGTTGATAATTTGGTGAGAGAAAAAATTATGAGTCGAGGACAAAACTACCTTAAGCTTGTACACTAGGATAAGGTATCTAATGGTCAAGCGATCTGTGAATTACTTAGATCTCCTCCTGTTTCTGGTTCGCGGGCGATCTGGGTATGATATTAGCTGACGACACAACGACAATATTCTGATCTAAAAAATACCGTTATTCCTCAAAGCGCACCAAGATAAGTGATGAATATTAGTGGACACAACTTCTCCTTGGAATGATAAGTGATTTTTTCGAAATGCAATCTATCAAGAAGAGATAGAAATTATTTTTTGGAATCAGTGGAGGATCCATCCATTCTATACGAGTTTCAAAATAATTTACTTAGAACATGAGAGTTCTCAACATGAAATTGAGAGCGAACGGAGCAAAGAGAAGATTTTAAGAGTAGTTGTCTCATAGAGTTCCTAAGATTCCATATGAGATAGTACGTTTGAAGGCCAATGAATTCGGTTACACGCAATTAAGACAACTAACAAATTTCTGTATCACTTGATCTGAAAGTAAAGTCGTTTGACAGAAGAATTTAATCCCTTAGGACCAATCAAAAGATGGTAATTGGCTAATTCACCGGTTTTTCTATTGCTTAATTGAAACATTGTGAATAGCTGTGTCTAGAAATTTCTCCTTACCGATACGTTTTCCCTTCATGGCAGTTAATTAAACCTTGTTAACTCTAGTCTGTTAAAAATTCTGTTTGTGAGCCAAGTATTGAGCCCATCAGGCCGGCGCTTAACTCCAGTTTCTGTAGCATGAAGCGACCAGGAGTATTTCTACTTCCCCCTAGATGGGATGCTAATCTATTGCAGGATTTCCCCCAGCATTAAATTCGCTGGTACCCATTTAAACGCGGAGGTGAAGAGAGGCACTGTGAGAGTAAAGTGTTTACTCTAGCTTTAACGTAAATCTCTCAAAGATTTTAAGGAAGGATTGTTAATTCCTTTCCTTTTGGTTTGATGGGTGTTTTTCCAAGCATTTGTCTAGCTGCATAATGAGCCTTTTCCAAAAAACTATAACACAAAGCAAGAGAAGCGCGTGATGGGATTCATTTCCTGCTCCTCCTCGAAGTGAGCATTGAACCACTAAGTATCATTGACGCTTTAGGTTAAATCCCCAATGCTGTGGTAATCCCGATCGGTTACACTGGAAATTTCTGCTGACGCAAAAGTTTCATAGGAATAGCTTCCTTGTCGTCTTCTTTGTCATCAATGGAAGACTTGTAACGGGTACTTCGACCAATTCCATCTTCGTGGCTTGAAATTAATCGGCGCAAAACTGGAAAATACTGAGAAGAAGGGGGAGATTCTGTAAATATGCCATCGCCCACACTAGCTGAAACGTTCCCGTTGCCGAACCAGCTTTTACGCTTTTGAGGTGCATCTGTCGAAGGCGTGATTACATTGCTGTTCCCGTTAAAATCTGAAGTTTCAGGTTCCTTGATTGTTGGCATGTCTACCCTGACAAGGAAGTCTTCAGAACCGGAATTAGAGGAACTTGTATTACTGTCGCCGAAACGGCTGGAGGAAGTGCCAGTTTCCACATTCAAAGATGTTGCTCTAGAATCGTGAAAATCATTTTTACGGCGTGTGCGAGGTTTATTTTTATTTTTGCCTCCTTTTCTCGCGAGAGTTTTGTCGTCGCTCGAACCAATCCTTCCTAATGAAGGCAGAGATGCCATCAGCCTTTCAGTGATAAATTCTTTCTTGGGTTTTCCTTTTCTCTTGCACTCATGTAACTAGGAAATATTAGGAGAGTAACTTGAGTGTTTGGATTAGTACACAAGTATTTCTAACAGTATTTTTCTTTGACATACTTGTTGTGACGGAGATCAATAGCATGCAAAGTTAATAAGCTTTCCATCCACAAACTCCCCCTCCCCACCCCTGCCCCTCCCCTACTCCTGTTAACCCTGAAGATTTCTGTACTCTTCATGAGCGACTGAAGTAGTCATTCAATTACCATTGAAGAACGAACCACCCTACCAACAGACGAAAAAAACACGAGTTAGTGAAAGAAAGAAAGATCAGACGGGTGGATACACGACTGAAAGACAGATGGACATATAAAAGGCAGACAGATAGACGGTCGGATAAGGGATGGGTATGCTGAGAAATTATTGGATGACGTTGCACATAATATTATGCAAAACAATCTGCAAAAGAAGACATTTCTCTCTTGAGTTTGCAACAGTTTGAGAACACTTCACGGATGAGGGGCTTGGAAACTAAGTTGACTTTGAACTCGACCCATTCTCTGCTGCAGATATTTGGTTATCATGTCAATTTCACAAGTTGTTGTATATTGATGGTATGCTGTCGACCTATCTGTTTATTCATAGTAAGTTTAATGTATAATAACAAGAGATTATAAACTGTAAACTGCAGTTTATATTCTCTCGATAATGATAATAAATATATAGATGCCGAACTTATAAAATGACGCATAAAAGAAGGACTCAGTGGTAAGACGGGCGGTCGGACGGAGAAATGAATGGACAGACAAAAATAGAAATGAATTACTTATTTTTTCCGGTAGTTGTTGGGATTTCTTCCATTTTAAGGCTTATTACCTGTCTCTGGATAATGGGAACTGGTAAGGATAGAAGAAGCACCCCCATCAAAGCACAAACTGCTCCTAAAAGCTTCCCACTGACCGTGAGGGGAAAGATATCACCATAGCTAAAACATCAAAAGATATAAGCACTCAGTGATTGCGGTTAGTAAAGTATACTGCCATGAAGTATTGCTAACTATGGTCCTCAAAAATCTGGAATTGGCAAGACCGATTTCCGCAAAGGAAACTTCTAACTTGTACCAATACAAAAAGTGTTAATCACTTTCATAAATTTCACTAAGTGGCTTCTTTGATTAGGCAGCAATGATACTCTTCATGTGTTATGTATGCGTCAACATATGACTGCCAGTTTACGGCGTATGATTACTCACCCTAACGTTGTCATGGTTACTAAAGTGTACCAGAAAGCTTCCGGAATGCTTTTAAAACATGGATTCTCGTTCTTTTCAAAATAGTACATGATGGTCGAAAATGTTATCATCAATGCCAAAAACGAGAAAAGAATTCCTCCAAGCTCCGTTGCTGCACCCTGTAGTGAACGCAGCAGATTTTGAAACCTTTCGGAATGCCTAGCCAACTTTGTGACTCGAAAAACTCTGAACATGCGAAAGACCGTAACAACAAACCCCAGCACTGGATTGTTAGACTTGACTGCACATTCAACCACCGCAATGTAGTAAGGAATTATTCCCAGAAAATCAATTATATTCGATGGATCTCTCACAAAGTCTAATCTGTGGGGAGCAGCATACAAGCGCGCTGTAAACTCGATTGTGAAAATTCCGACGCAGAAAGAATCCAGTCCTAAAAATATATTTCTATGTGCCTCGCCATGATTCTGACCTGACTCGGTGGGCACTGTTTCCGCTACGATAGCAGAGATGTTCAGGAGTACCACGGCTCCAAAAAGAAAGCCAAATGCCTTTGATTCTTTCGAACTCTTGCTATTGGTCAACAACTCCCACAATTTCTCACGAGTTGTCCGCAAGTCGCAGGTTTTTTGAGACACTTTACTTTCCATAGTTTCTATTTTTTTCTTCTTTTCTTGTTCCTCGTCCTCTTGAGTAATGTGCTCACAGCAACAATCGAACACGGAGTGCTGTGGAATTCCAAAGTATTTCAACTCATCTAATACAGCTTCCATACAGCACACAGTTGGTGCAGGAGCGTGAAAACTTCCATGTCGATAAAAGCTGGCTATGTTCTTGAAAATAAGTGGGTCCCGGTCGAAAAAGTATTCCTCCCTCTCCGCATCATAGAAGAAATTTTTCCTCTCGCTGCCGAGAAGGGTGTCGGGAAACTTCTCCAAGTTTTTCTTTGCAAGTTTATATTTCGTTCCGCCTACATTCACAGTTATTCTTTCCTCCTTAGGCAGGATTGAATTTTGTAGTGACGAAGTGCTACAAGAAGCCAGCATATGAGCTGAATTGATCAAAATGCGTCGGATTAAGGGCCCACGATTGACATTTTTCCCCTTTTCCAGTCCACCAAGTTTTTGTCGGCTCATCTTGACTTTGCCGAGATGAATCAGTTTGTGCAGTACTTGAGATCTTCGAAGCTTCTTCTTTTCTCGCCTGTCCATTAAATCTTTTATGAAAAACAGCGAATTTGTTTATATAGAAGATACGTATTCTTGAAAAAATTATGATATTTTATCGTCGGTGTCCTCCGATTGCCCATTATCGGTAATCTTGGCTTCTAATGCAACCTCGTGTTTTGAAAATGTATTAACTCATTAAAAAACACTTTTACGAACAATGATTGGCTCGTGTACAAGCATATAAGAAAAAAGCAATCTGTATTTCTGGTCACCGAAAAACAAATAGAACGACACAAGACGTAATGATTAATATTTCTGTCTTCATTAACACATGCTTTCGATTTCATTAGCGATGACTTTAACCGCAAAAGGCTAACACAAGCCAAAGGGGAAGTTTTAAATGTACTGTTCGCTTTAAAAATGATGTTGGTGGAATGACTAAGTCATCCGAAAATTGGTTAGAAACGATTATTAGGACTTGCATATTCTTCCGTATTATCATTTTTAGAATTGGGCTTTTTCTCATTAAATAAGAACTTTACCCTACATCCGTGGAGTTATCCATTCCCAGTTTGGTTAAATACACCTCGAGTTCTTAAATCTTACTGATACTACAGCTGATGCGAGTTCAACATATTTCAGACATTAAAAGATTTGCTGATGCTATGTATTGCCCCTTCCAATAACCTCAACTCCAAAAAGGAACCAGTACATTTGAAGTCAACTGAGTTCCGATCTTTACTCCCTGCATGAATATTGATGCAGCCAGCTGTTATGTAAATACAAATAGACTATCAGTTTTGCAACGAGATCTACCCCCAAATTGGATTGTTTTAATTCAGTTTTACTACAACGATGCTTATGCTAATTTTACTCAAATGTTCAAGTTCGGCTTCAGGAAAACATGCTGCGAAAGTTTTACTATTTCGTGCAATCTGCTGACCGCAATGTGATGCTTTGTTTTTTCCAGTCGGTGTGATGATAACGAGAGAAATTGGCACGAACTAATTAAAATTTTTGCGTTCATCATTTCCAGATGGTAATAATTTTAAATGAGTATTGATTTCGGATGAAAATCTTACTCACATTACATATAGCGAGTTCCAAAGAAAACTAACAAAAGTCGAGTTCCCGAACGTTCCCTGTCGCAGGCAAATTGAAAAAACAGGAGATGAAGGTAAGAGAAAGTCACAAAGAAACGGCTCAGATTTTTCATGTTCGCCTTACTGGTAGACATTAAAATTTAACGAGCACTTCAGAAACCTTTTGCAATATGGATGAAAACTCTTCTGGCTAACATATTTCAGTGGAGCATGTGAAATGTGATTCATGATCAGTTCTTCAAATCAACTAAAATATTAATACTTGAAGAATCATATAAAAACTTAATTGGGTTTCGTTTTTTTAATAGAAAGAGGTTTGCGTAAGTAGTTGTGCATAATTCATAAACAATTTTAAAAAGATTAACTCACAAGGGTAATTAAACGTGATGTTGAATAAAAGTTGTGCACAAACTGTCATTAGCATTATTAGCCACTAAGTCACTTAACTCATATTTTTCATAGCGGATTATAAGGCCTTAAGAGCAAAGAACCCCAAACATTGACATGTGAGCAGGAGCAATTTTAGTGCAAATCTTACAGCGTAACATGGACAATGTAATACAACAAATTGCAAGAGTTCGTTGACAAGTGTAAACATAAATTTAGATAAAGAGATAACAGTGGTCTCCACGTAAGAGAGGATGTTGCGCAGCGCATTAAGGTCGGTGTTTTTTCAACGAAACGTATACTGCGCGCGCACCTGCGGGCTTATCTCTCATCTTCCCTACGTGTAAAGCTTCGTTAATCAAGGATAAGTAGCCTTACATTTCGTATCATATAACGAACAATCCTTTATTTTCTGGCGCGGGATATGCCTTTCGATTCTTTCAAGCACTAAATACCTCCTATGAAAGCAAACCTTTGAGATAAATGGGTTTAAATGAATTTCAACTTTACCAAAGTTAACTTTAATTTACTCCCTCCGTTTGCCATAACAGCCTGAGATCAAGGAACTGTACCTGGATGGAATCTATCGCATATAGATTCTGCCCTTCTTGTCCAATCAAGAAAAGAATTTAAACCAAATACTTGCGTTTCACGTGATTTGCTCCTCTTCTCTTACATATATACATGCTTCAGTGGCATTCATCTCACGCGTAAAAAGGCGTTTGTCACGATCCGTTCACGTAATGTGCCAGCTTTAGTGAAACACGAAACTTGGCTGACAGCTCCCTGTCAAAAATGTTTATTTCATTCATTAATAGCCAAGCTGTGTTTGATATTTCATTTTTTGCAAAAGCAACTGAAGCAGATATTCTATTCTATCCTTCTATTCATTCATTTTTCATATTTCCTTTTCTTTGATTTCAAGATTTCAAAATGCAAGGATAAAGGATTCAACGATCCTACTTATCCTTTTAATCTTTCTATGCTTTGGAATCAGAGAGCACGATTATAACATTTCTAAAAAATTATTGTTCTGAGTTTTACTAACTATGAATCTCTGAATCAGAGTCAACTTTCCTGGTCGAAATTCAAATATCACTTTTATTTTCACACCAAAAACGAGTTATCGTCGATCAATAACAAAATGTCAGCTCATGGATAATTACTGCTGAGTCTGCAGCTCTCTTAAAACATTTGAAAAAATGTTTTCAACATTATTAAAACGTGCCCTCTATTTGCAAATTTTCTGTGACTATAAAAATCGCAAGGCTGTGGGAGCACTCTGAACTCTTTGTCGTTTGAACAGCGGCACGCGCACCGTAAAGGAGACAAGCTTTGGTTTGTCAGCGCAGTATTTTAACACAAAGCGCACCTCAGACTGATCCAGTTCCCAGTTGTATATGAAAATCTCATCCAAGAGTCCACCAAAATTTCTGCCATCAGGTAGATGACCCCCTATCAAAATGCGACCCCAAGAATCGGAAAGCTTTGGTTTGCGGGGATTGCCATAAGTTCCTTTCAACAAACCGTTCACGTAGATCTTAGCGTCACCGGATTCTGCGCTGTACGTGGCAGTCACATGACTCCAGAGCCCTTCAGGTATTGCAACATCGTCAGTCTTGACGTCAAACGCTACGTCACCGTTAGAGGTTTTGTGTCGCCAGTGAAGTTTTCCGTTCACTACCTCCAAGTTGTAAATGTCGTGCCATTCATCGTTGTGCTTGTTGCTCACGGCTTGGAATATAGAATGACGTCCCTTAGTTTGGTTTAAACTGATCCAGGATGCAATTGAAATAGCTGTGTTAGGTTTGTGGTGAAAGTTTTTCCCATCAAGATACACGCTGGGCATTTTATCATTGGATGCGTCTAAACACGCGCCACATTTGTCACAACCACTGTTTAAGATGTGTGCCCCTGGGATTGGAAATGAAGGCATAACCACCACTAAATCAGTATATATGTGTTACTCTTGATGATATGGCTCTCTGAGATAATGATAAAGGCCAGTCACGAAGTGGCAAGTGCGATCATGAAACGTCACTAGTGGCTAGCTAATACGTTTGAACAAATCGACCTTAACCTGCTGCAAATTTTACGATAACGTTTGTACTCAAATTCAGTTTGAAATCTATCTGTTATCGATATCTTTTGCTACTTTTGCATAGTGTGCATTTGGTTCCCTTGTATGCCTTAAAGCAGAGTATGAGGAAATTAAATTGAGACTGAAGGGTTTTTTCTAAAATAGTTCGATGATGTTTTGATCCATCAAAGTGAGGATCAGGGAAAGTCCATATACTATGTTGCGACACAGAGGTTTTCAAATGCGCCTTATTACAGTTGTACAACGCTTAACGATTAAATTTCTCAAGACAAAAACCAAAGTAATGAAAAGAGGCGATCACAAAAAGCCAGTAAGAGTTCTAAGTAAAGCCGCGCAAACTGCCTGGAGCGAAGGAAGCGCGAGTGACCAATTCGGTTTTATTCTTGCATCTGATTGGTTGAAGGTCAGCAAGAATGTCCTTGACCAATCAAAACTAAAGTAATTCCGGTGTGCTCTCGACGCTTAAAAGAAAATTGCTCCACCTCTTACCTCCCTCCAGGGTAGCATTGTTATCCAGACCTGATTGATCCATTACCTGGTGAGTAGTCACGTTCGCTTTTTGGAATCCGTAGTGAAGGACCATTCGATTAAACTCGCACTTTTTATAGAGCATTTTAACTTCCGCTGGAGTGATAACTCGATCAAACATGAAAACATCATCTAGAAAGGAGATGAACTTATCGCCAAATTTCTGTCCTATTCCTGTGGCAGTAAAATCGTCTGGCAATCCTTTGTTTTTCTTGCCAACTGTTTCAGAGATCAGTTTACCATTCACATAAACTCGAGCAATTCCATCCTTAGAGTCAAAAGTTCCTGCCAGGTGAATCCATTGATTCTTTGGAACTTTCACCATTTTCTTTCCACTGTCATCTTCCTTACCGTCGTCGACATCAAACCACCGAACGAGACCAGTCTTGCGGGACTTAATCCACATGGCTATGGAAGCTGCTTTGGTTGGTTTCCTTGTGAAGTGATTAGCTTTGTACATGACTTCACCATGTTTAAGGTCAGCAACACGACCACACGAGCCTGAAAAGCACAATTGTGTGATTAAGTGTGCTGTGGGCTCCCATCGTTATACTCCTGCTGGCTTTTCTTCCTTCTACGATTTTTTTTACCCCTTCGCCTAGATCCGCCTCTGAGTCATACTATAGCCGAGCCCAGATGTTCAGTTATAGACGATGCGAAATAGTAGCGCAGACGGAGAAAAGGAGGGTGGTTTGAGACAGGTTACAAGAACAATACACCCCACGCCTCACTCTCTTTTTATCACTTAGCGCTATAATATCATCACTCATCAGTGTAACTGTACGCCTAAAAAGGCTACCATATTAAGGTTCCTTTGTAGAACGCATAAGAATTAACAGATGAGAGATGAATATTAGGCTTTGGTTAAGTGATGGATGGATGCTTATTGCACAAAGGCAGTTGACTACATTTCCACAAACATTCTGTTTAGTTATCTTTACGTACCCATTGTCCGGTTTGATATTTCAGCTCCGTTGGAAAGATCTGCGTCATTTTTGTTCCCAGACTGATCGTGTACAGCGTTGTCTGCGGGTTTGACAGGCGCGCTGTCAAAATTTAAGTGCATCACAGCACTTCGAGCTGAGAAAAAAAATAGTAGGCAAATTAAATGATTAATTTACATACCTTATGAAACGTCTTACATCTACATAGTTCTTGGATGTTGCTGCATATTACAGTTATTACCTAGCTTCTGGCTACTACCTATAAACCAGAAAGAAACACTTACCTAGTTTCTTGATGATTTCTTCTTTCATGGTCGATGAGGGTGGACCTGGCGCTGAAAATTATCGCATGGTTTGTTACTTGTGATGTAAGTTCTATATCTCTGATAGATTATAAAATATCAATGCTTACTATCTCTCTATCTTTTTTTTAATCGTATGTGACAAACCCATAAAAGGCCCTCGACGCAATGCTGAAAGAGGAGTCAACGAGAAAAATAAGTTTGCAATTGTGAGTACATTCCCTGAGTACGCTCAGTCTTAAAGCTTGTTTCTGTCTTTTGATCGAAGAGCGCTTTTCGACTAAAGTAATCACAAAGGGTAATCGAAATAAAAGTTAATTTTAGTTAAAGGGATAATAGAGCTCAAAGAAAACCAGGAAAACTACTTAATGAAAAGCGAGGGAAAACTTCTCTGACCAAGCTGCGCCTGATTAGCGGAGAGGCTGGCACGAGTTTAAGACAAATTACAACGCGGTAAGCAAAAACAAGGCGATCTAGTAGTAGTTCAGTGTAACGGTAGTAGGGCCGAATGGAGTCCAATTCGGTCTATAATCATGCGAGCGATTAACAAAATTGGATGACCGCGAAGCGGGAGTCGATTTGTTAATCACGATTATGATTACAGACAGAATTTGACGACACGAAGTCTTTTTACCAATTAATCAAAACTATTACAAAATTCGAAAAAGAAACTATACATTGACAACTGTTAACTCGGCGAAATGCGCGACAACAGCGCGCACACACGACGCGTTCTGTCCACTAACAAAGGAATGAAGTGTTAATTGCCCCTTAACTGTTCTATTACATTGTCTAATTACAAGCCTGACACTTACGCTGTCCTATTAGTGCTCGAATCGGATTGGTGATAACTAATCACGTTCGAGAATTTTGTTATAGTTGTAATTACGACAGTTAACTGAAAAGTGGTCTGAATTATAGCGGGGAGAAGTTGCACCTAGGAATTTTTTAAAATTACAACGGTAATGATCCTATCCAACGTACTTGGCTTGGGTGAGGATACTGAGGAGGTAGTTGAAGGGGAAACACCGGGAGATTCTTCACTTGGAGATTCTAAGGAATAAAGTATAAACTTAGACATTCTTTTAGATGAAAATCACTTTTAGATAGAAAGAACAACGCCCATTGTTTAAATTTAATGCATAACGATAGTAAAAGCTGCTTTGAAGTAAATTGAATGAGACGATGTTAAACGAAGGTACCCTTTCCAGACTAATCAAGGTTAGATGAGGCAATCATGATTTTCTGAAAGTCAGCAAAATCAGATACGGAAACAAAAGTGCTTTAATCTATGTCGAGAGCTACCCAGTAGTGCACAATCTTCTGTTTTCTTGTTCTCTCATTATCACTGACAAGATTTTTATTGGATAATTCGCTTATTATGATTGGAAGGCTGTGAAACTTTGTGCACGAGCAAGTCCCAGAAATCTGACCATAGATTTACAATTAACAAAGAAACTTGTTAAATTTCATAACAAATGTGTTTATTTAACTTTGGACTATCCTGAGAGTTAAACGATGGATGTAAGAACAAACCTTCCAAACCATCCTTAAGTTCCTCATCCCTTTCAGTCTTGTCATTTGAGATATTTGCCTCAGATTGGTGTTCCTGTTCGCTATCTTCAGATGAGTCTGTGTCTGGTTCTACTGTGTCAGTATCGCTGACTGGTACACCCGTTTCTGATTCCGTTGTTTTAGTTTTTTCACTGGGCTCGTTGCCTTCTTCGTCGTCTGTACCGGGTCTAATGTGCTTCGGGGAATGGTGGTATTTGTGGTGGTGAGTCTCGTAAGAATCTTCTTTTATGGCATTTTCGGTCGTTTCATCTGCGTGTTGTGACATAAATCATCCACATGTGTGTAAATTAAGGGGAAAAAAAGTCAACAATTGCGATGATGTAGCTGTACAAATGTAATATACGTCTATTCATCCCGGATACTCCAAAAATCACCCGTCTGCGAAATAGCCTTTACTCGTCTAGAAGAGATAAATTCAACTCACTGTACCCCGCTGATCGACCAAAGCTGGCATCAAATTGAAACAGAACAGGCAAAAAGTTGGAGATTTTAAAGATCAAAGAAACCGTCTGTTATTAAGTCGTACAGACTTGATAGACAACTACCGAGATCAGTGAAGAAAAATAAAATCCTGGCAACATCTAATAGCGATATCTCAAGCGAAATTCTTAAAATCTTCTTTGCATTCTGCCGGTACGTGAGTTTTGCTCATAGTGAGAAAGTGCGTCGGCCTTTGTCATCTTTGGCCTCTACGAAGGTGCACTTTCCTTTTCCCTAAAGAAGCATTTTATAATAATTGCAAACATCTGCAGAAAGAAAGGAAGTAAAATGAATGAATAAACGAAATGAATTTTTGTATCTGCACCTGCAGGGTGAGCTCCAAAATCGTTCAACTCCTCATCAATTCCTTCGTTATGTCCAATGATTCCTTTTCCATTCAGTCGGTCAGTAGTATCCTCATCAACCCAATGTTCACCATTTAGAGGTCTGGGACGGTAATGCCTTCTTCCTCCTGAGCCGTATCTCAAGCTAGAAGTGGGATGCGATTCGTCAATGCCATATGAATATTCTGAAAAATCAAGTTACGAGAACTGAAAATTTTAGTATGTTTTTTTAGGTACATTTCCAATAGAGAGACAGTGAATCATCAGAACAAATAATTTCAGTGGCTACCGCACCTGAGTTATGATGTAATCTGCGTTCTTTCCTGCCGTGCGAACCCATACCATCTATGTCCTCATCCTCACTGAAGTCGTTGTCTAATCCCCACATTTTCTTGTCATTTTCAAATGCGAACTTGTCGTATTTCGGTTCCTCTGGCAACTGATCATCCTCTGGATTAAATTCATTTCTGGCGGGATCACCTTGAGTAATCAAGAGGGTACTGGTTCTTATCCAAATTGTCAACAATTTGTTACGAGATCACCGTAGAATAAAGCTAAATCTATACAATTCCGGACTGCTCTCGACGCTCGCCTGAAAACTGAATATTTCTCTCATGACACACGAGTCAGCTATTGCTAATAGCGAGAGAGCCCTGAGCCGATGGCACTGTAATTTTTCCGGGACTGCAAATGAATCAGTCGGACTGATTAAATTAAGAAAATCATATAACATTTAAAAACTTACTTTGACTTCCAATAATATCATCTGACAAATGTGACCTAGAATTGACATCCTCAAAGTCTCTGTACACCTGACTCGCTGTCAGAAAACTTGGAATCTTCTGCGGGGCCGCCATGGGAACATTGACCGTCACGGGCGAAAGGTCTTGACCAAGAGAGCTCATAGGCTCGTTCAGAGCGAAGCCGCTTCTTGTTTGAGAAGTCCGCTGGGGCAAGACGTGTTGAAGGGGTGTCAAACCTAAAGTGCTGCTGAGTTGCTGTAATGAGGGTTGAGGCGGAGCACGAAAGGAGATTCCGGAGTCTGGAAACGGCTGCTGAGGTGCGAATAGAGACTGAGGGATTTGATTATTTAATGGTTGTTGTAGAGGAAACTGAGAACGTGCGTCTATGAAAAAAAAAAATGTCAAAAGTTCTGTTTGTTAAATCTTGTCAATTTTTCTTACAATACTGGTACATCCAGCCAATTTTGTTGCCTGAAAGTGATAGGAAAGCTCTTTACTGGAGTACTCTCCGAGGTTCCCAAACCAGTTTGTCGTCCTTGGGTAATTCGGTGGTTTCTTTCGATTTTGTTTGGTTTTTCGTTCGCCTTTAGCAAGGTTTCCTCATTCTAATAAATCAATTCAGCACCTTCGTTGCTATATTAAATACAATTACCAGTACTTCTGTTAGGGTTGTGGTAAATTGCATGAAATCAAAAACTGTAACTTACTTCTTAGGGTGGGAATAGGTTTCTGTGAGCAACATACTCGCTGCCGTTACAAAATGTTAGCGACGACTGACCTACATATTTGTTAGACATGATAAGACAGAGTTGAAAGGCCCTTATGTACAGGCATGATCCTCTGAGGATGAACACAAAAGCTTATACTCAAATCTGAAATGAGGGCAAAACAAAAATTTAAGGTGGCTCATTAATGCTCGTATCACTTTCAAAAAGGGTTTGAGAGTTTACCTGGCTGTCCTAACAATGAAAGTTGATCCATCGCTTGAGGAGCAGGGGCGAATTGTGGTAAGAAACCTGGTAAAGACTGTGTTGGTAAATATTGTGGAACTGGTTGCTGCAGCTGTGGCAAGGTGGGTAAAAACGGTGGGTCAGGAACTTGTCCAGGAAATAACGATTGCTCAAACTGTTGGGGATTTCCGTTCCCTTGTAGGAGTGGCAACGGGAGTAGTACTTGTCTTCGTACTCTGGAGTGATCTGAAGAACGATCTGACACAAGACTTTTTAAAACGTGAAATCTGCTGCTCCCGAAGTAACTTCGACTTTCTGGCCTTGCCTTCTCCCGTAAGGGAGACACTAAGGATTCTGTATGGCCTTTAATTACTGTCATTTCATCTAAGGATGATCTTTGTTTGATAGAACTAATCTTTGGTTTGTTTCTTTCGCGACCGTGCTTTACACCGTTATCTTTTTGAAACACACTTTTCTTCAGTTTTGCTTCAGTTTCAGTGGGTAGCACTCTCTCTTTAGTTGGAATGGCCGGTTCGGACAGAACAGCCTTGGTTGGCACAGTTACAGATGGAACAAATCCAGGCTGTGTTGGATTATCAGAGTTCTTTGTAGCTGCTGTTGTGTTAAACGTCGATTCTTTCTTCTTTGTAAGTGACAACAGATGTGTTTTTCTCGGTCTTTTAATTAACAGTTTGCTACCGCCAATTGTATCTTTCTGGGCTAGACCCTTTGGTGGGCTTGGAATCAGTCCAAATTGCGTTGATTTAATGGCTAGAGAGCCAGTAGGTTCTACTTTAGCATTGCTTTTAGGCTGAATTATTCCCATTTGGGTTGGCTCAATGGGAGCAATGGTTCCTCCTGTCGGTCGTGTGCCATTTGCTTGGACCAGCGTCGAGGGGCTTGTCCTAGATTGAAGGGAAGTGTAGCCTAAAGAGTCCTTAAACTCACTTCCAAGCGGTGAGAAGATATGCGCCGGCAGAAGTTTGGCACCAGCTTCTGTCAGATACCTGTAACCTGGTGCTTTCTTCCCTGATGGTTTTCTCGATCTTGTCAAGAGCATGTCCGCTGCCGAAGATAGGTACCCCCGTATGTGAGAACTTTGTTTAACCGTAGATCTTTCCCTAGACTTAGATGATTGCAATAAAGACATTTGGAGGACCTTTTGAATTTTACGTTGCATTTCTGGGGAGAGTTTATTCGACCCAACCATATTCTTAATTGAGGTCAAAGAGCTGTTGTCGTGAACTGTTCGATTCCTGGAAAGCAAAGATGACAACGGTGACAATGTTGACAATTGAACTGATTGTAGAAAAGATGAAGCCTTCGATGGATTCTTTTCATCTATTTCAAAAGGTGCTTTGAAGACCGATAGCTCTGGATAAAGACTTTGTAAATAATCGGCGGCTGTATATGCTTTCGTTGTTGACTGGTCGTTCTTAGAAGAAGCCTTTGTACTGTTTTCCTTTGTTACCGTGGCGTTGGAAAACCATTCTTTGTGGGAGTCTGAAATAGACAAATTCATCTTTGTGGAATTATTTTTCATAGAAGACGACATCATTTTAAGGAATGGCGCCACTAAGTTGTATCCGTGTTGTTTTGTTGAGTTTGTGGTTAGTATTGATGAGTCGTCACTGGGAATTTTATCGACTGTTTTTACTGATGACGAAAGTGTTGCTTGTGAAGAAAACGATGGGTTTTGTTTATTCGAGGTAGCTGGTAGGTCCTGGTCTGAAACAAAGTCACTATGGTTTACTTGCTTGGAAGGCTTTTCTTGACCCAAGACAGCCTGTAGCAGTTGATCTGAGACGAGATTATTATGGTTTACTTGCTTGGAAGGGTTTTCTTTGAGAATTGGTTTGTTGTTCAAGTCCACGTTAGCCATTTGGTGCGAAGTTGCCAGACCCTCTGTGACAGCTTGTCTCGGAGACGAAAGTGCTGTATCTATAAATTCAACATTTTTCAATGTTTCTTGGTCCAACAATCAAGCTGAAGCATTGTAAGACAAACGTATTTGGTGGCTGCATGAAGATTTGCTACACAGACAACCAGCAGGACAACCAGACAGACAGAAACACAAACAGACAGACAGACAACATAATACGATTTTTGCGCGGCTTCAGAAGAAACTCAACTCTGCTGTATTAAAAAAATCGTGAAACTCTAGCATAACTTGGATCATGATCGAAAGCTTCGAAACAAAAGAACATCGTAGGAAAATGGTCCAGAACTTACCTTGCGACCAGGAATCTTTGATAATCGCTTTAGCAATGTCATTCTCACTCTCGAGAAGGGGTTGGATTGTTTTTAAGTCTTCCTTTGTTGGCCCATTGTCTGCGAACTGCTTTGAATCCAAATAAGGTGGTGTTTCCTGGCTCTCATTGGGTTCAAAATAATCCACCTTATTCGCGCTGGAAGGCGAGTTGTGTGTTTCATATTGACTTTGTAGAAATGACAGACTTGTGGAGGTGAGCTGATCTCGGTTTGTGGCGTCGTCGAACATTTCGTTGGTGGCAATAGGCACTGCAGGTGAAGACATAAGCTGATTCTGCTGCGCAGTGAAGCTTCCCTCAGGAGACTGATTCATTTGATTCTCGTAGAATGGAAGCGAGGACTGTTGCGTCACCGGCTCTTGTGGTAACTGACCAGTCCATTGTGACTGAGGAATTTCGTTTCCAGCAAGAAAGGGAAATTGATAGCGTTTATTGTTTCCTAGAAGGAAAAGTACGCTTTCGTGAATTGAAATTTTCACATGTAGCAAGAAATTATCATCTAGTTTGGCCTCTTTATCTTTTCTTGAGCTTACGGGAGGAGAAGGAGGGTGGTTAGCGATTTCGATTGCCTCATTTGGCTAAGGAAAAACGATTTGAATTTTAAATTTCCGATTCAACAGCCGAGAGTACTTTAAAGCTCCTCTACCCACAACCCAAGATCACATATCATATCAATATCCGAAGTTTAAATTATTTGCAACTAAACACAAGAATGGGAAATGAGTAAGTAAGCAGCAACCTTCTTCGTACTCTTTTTGCTTCTCCTTCATGGCGTTTGATGGTAAAATCGCGGGCGCAGGAGCTATGAGCGGAGCAGGCGCAATGGCCTCCACCGGAGGGACGGCCCCTGCGTCAGGAACCAACCCAGAGGGTAAAACAACGGGTGCTGGAATATCGCTGGTATATTCCGGTAGCGATGATGTATGGGAGAACAGCTGTCGTCTGTCTGGACCTTGTAAAGAAAAGTGCGAGATTGTTGCATGCGGGGATCGATGTGGGGAAGACACGAATTGAGAACTAGTCTTACGAATGGTGTTTTTTCCTCCCCGCTAACATAGTATATGGTCGTTCCATTCTTCTGTAATAAGCTCTTTTACTGTTTTAGTCGCGCACATGAAACCCGGCCTGGGCTCGATCTAAACGCCCTAGAAAGTTATCCTTAAAACTCTTAGTATAATTTCCAGTCGATATTAATTATGGTAAGGCTCAGGTTGTAGAACGGTCGTTGGTCGCAACTAACGGTTCAGTCGCATATTACTAAGCGTGATTCAAACCTTGTCCAAAGCAAGGAAAAAGGTAATTGAAAAATGATGCAGAGCTTACCTTCGCGTTTATGATTTCCTGACCGACAGAAGACGCCGGCGGTTAGGAACAGAGTGAGTAAGGTAATCCGCCAAGGGAGTCCCTCCATCGGTGAAAGAAACTCACTCGACAGTGTTTACTTTATGGGGAGCAACTGTTTGTTTCATGGAAGGTCTCAGTAGTTGAATCTTCTGAAAAAGTACGTAAAAGACAAAGGGTGGTCATATGTGCGCACCAGTAGGTGTGTCGCTCTAACTTGATTGTCTCGAACTATTAGACACTCGGGATACTCTTTGCGGGATTTATTATGACTGTGAAAGAAATTTAATTCATTATTTGTGATGGATAATTACTGAGGAAAGTTGTTTTTTTATTTGATATTTGAAGTAGTATGCATAACGAACATTACCAAATAATATCACACCTTTAAAAACTAATTACTTGAGGGCAGTATGACTCCGAAATTGCGATTTGTTATTGTTCTGTGTTAAAGAATGTGGTGCTTTATCATCTCTAGGCCCTCTGGGCATGGCTTACTATCGGGTTAGGTATGGTTGAACCGTAGTTCCATCAACACGCGTGAAGTTATCATCATCATTTGCGGCTAAATCAATTTACTGCGGCGCCGCTTGAATCAATGTTTGACCTCACATTGCGGGCCGAGAATCATAAGCCTGTAATTCGTGTAAAATTTACTCGGTCAGAGAAAAAATCTGCCAGCTAAAAAAAGAAAGCTAAAAATGTTTCGGATTATTATATTTTCTCGCAGATTAACGACCTAATGATGGTTAGTTAAATCTCAGACATAGATTTCACGGATGCCTCGAAAAAAATATTTATCTCGCCTTTAGTTAAATTCTTAAATATAAACTTGAATCAAACTTCTCGTGAGGAAACAAAATCTGTTTCGAGGTTTATCGGATGCTATTTTGACCAAATTGTTCGACAGTTTTAGGCCAGGCGGTTCAAAATTCATCTAACAACAGGTAGTTTGATTCACTGGTAACCCAAACAAAATCCGACAGCCAAAACAACACGAAAAGCTCCTACAAATTAAAGATAAATCATAGAAAAATTCAGATCACTTACAGTGAATTCGATTTTCCAACATATTTTTGCTTAAATTCCGACACGTTGTGTGTTGGTAGAGAATTACACAGTCGCCATTTTGCCTTCTTCACAGATGTGTTCATTACATCACCATGCATTTCACTTATTCATTTATTCGCGCTCGGCCGAGTTTCCATCTTTGTTTTCATTGGATCGATTAAAAGCGGAACCTGCTGGTAGACTCATTTACCGTCAGAGCGCGGCAGATAAATTAATTTGATGGAAATTGTTACTTTACCAGAAGAAACGATTGGACCAGGTTGTCGTACAAACAAATTTGCAACAATCTTTGTCAGAGACCGCGGAAAAATTCTATTTAAAGCAACCTCGCGATCATGGTTTGATTAGAAAATTGATGATGAAGAGCGGAAATGTTCCTACAAAATAAGGTTATGATGCAGTTAGAAATCTGGAAAAGGCTAGGCTGAAAATGTTATCATCGTTACTAATGAGTTGTTGCACTGAACTTTTCCCATTGTAACAATTTCACCTGAAGATATGAGCTTTACAAAAGAGCTGAGGACTAAATTCTCTTTCACTAAGTTTAAACCCTGAGGAATCGATCCTCTCAAATCCTTTTTGATTAAAAAAAAAATAACTTTATTAGAACGGCCGACCACACCAGAAATACAGGCTTGACCCCACACACTTTCTCACAAAGGATGTTTTAAAAGACATCTTGGAACAGCTTTATCAGGGATTGAATCATTTCATAGATCGAAAAGAAATCATGATATCTTCAAACATATGCAAAATTGTACAGGAAAGAAAAAATTGAAAAAGGGGTCATGTTAGAAATGACCTGGGGCCGGAGAGACATTGTGGAAAACATGGGGGTTACAGTTTTTCAGTCCCTCAAAAAGGTAGGGTCAAGAAACAATAATAGTCAGCTATAGAGAATGAAGAGATAGGCTCATGAAAAATCATTATAAGCTACTGTAGTCTGAGAGAGATATGTGCTAAAATCATGACTGCCATGACATGAATACAAACCATGTGTGACGATTATGGCATGCAAATACTCCGTGTAAGACAAACTTTTGAAAATATAACCAACCTCGATCCCAGAGCTTTTCCCTTTTTGAATATTTTGGCGGGCGGGAAAATATTCAAAAAGGGAAAAGCTCTGGGAACGAAGTCGAAATATAACAGTAATAACCCAAATTAAAAATAGCCAATGTTGACCTTTGGAGATTGTGAAAGAACTCAGGGGAATTTTTTTCAGCATCAGCGCCTGCACTATACCATCATCATTATCAGTATTTTCCTTTTTCCGACAGTGAATACGCGTACTAGTTGTGAAGCAATTTTCCCTTTTTTATTAGAAAGCAAATTTCCTTCATGAATGCAGTTCTTTAGGGTTTGCGTCACAATTAGCAAGCAATGGTACATTAGTTCAATATTTTGACGGAATGGATTTATTTCAAGAGAATATAAACAGTCTATGTTCACTTGATTTATTTGCAATGGTGATAGTAGAAAAGGATGACACAAGCTTGTTACCTTACGCCGGGAGGATCTGGAAAGACTTAGTCTCCCTCGCAGCCGTTTTTAGTCTCGTCACGCCACGCTCCTCCCTACAAACACGTTCACATCCAGACAGGAACTAATAATCGCCGGAAAATCAAAAGAACTTTTTCCGAAAACATAAATTTTTTCCTTTTTTCTCAACTAAAGTGGAACAAATAAAACAACGATCACTTTGCAAAACCTTTTTCGGCGTTTCCTCCATCAAGAAACTACGATGAAATGCAGAATTTGAAAACGCGAGAATAATCATATTGATTACAATCTCTTGTGCTCTGATTGGTCACATGAGAAACAATGTCAGTGATCTCATTGGTGCAAAGACAACAAAGGGAAAGGAATGTTGTTCGAATGAGAGCAGCCGTTTGTGGGGAGGAGCGTTGCGTGACGAGACCAAAAACGGCTGCGAGGGAGACTAGGAAAGACTGGAATCGATGTTGTTTCCAGTCCCAAACGATCTCCTAATGTTGACAGCATTGCACTCGGCCCTCACGTGTACTACTTCATCCATTCAAAATTGTTGTGAATTTTATCGTGTCAAACAAAAAGTAATTTTTATTAGTACATCTCGGACATTGTGAACATGATCCTTTGCCTGTTATCAATGTAAATCACAGTTCGCCCTCTTGAAACCTATGGATCCTAAGTTGGAAGAAGTATTTAAGAAGTGGGAAGCCCATAGTTCTGGTCCTTCTCGAGCAGCAAATGATGAAGAATCACAGCGTCAGAGGGAAGAAAGGCAAAGAAAATTCCGTGATAATTTGGAAGCACCGTTCCGAAAGCCCTCAAGACAAAGGCCAAGAAAACGTAAATCGAAGGTACAGCTACAGCTGTAGTGAGTTTTGATGTTGTTGTTGTTAACGTTATTGGCATTGTAATGGTTCTTAACACTTTAACTCCCACGAGTGATCAAGACAGAATTTCTCTTTACATTATCAAGTAGACAAGTGATGAGAATAAAGTAAATTATTAATAAGGGGATTATTAGTTGATGCAATACCAAATTCTCCAAAATAACATTATAACAATTGTATAGCAGATAGTAAGGAGAATAACTAAATGGATCTTCGGAGCAAAAGGGTTAATAAGTATTAGGTTGACCCCAAAGACCAAGCATTAAGACCTACCCACTGACAAAATCTTAGAAATTGGTTATGGTTCATTTTAGACCATTTAACCACCAAAGGATCAATGATTTCTTCAGCAGATGGTTTAATTTGCTGTTTTATATGACAACTGAGACTGACCTAACAGAAATAGAACATTAAAAAAATTAAAGTAACATTAGTAGCAAACAGCAACTAAATCTATGTTGAAAAAGTTGGAAATCTTCAGAATAAAGAAGATATGAACATTGCTCACCTGAGTGATACACAATAATCTCATCCACATAAAGTGCAACAAAATTTTGGGAAGGATAGTATTCTACCATATCTTGAAAAAAGGACACGCATGGGGAAAGGAAATAATTTTTATTAGTCTGGCTCAATTAATGTAATAACCGGAAAATAGTTGTTTAAGTATGCCAATGAGGCAGCTGGTTTATGAGTGACCAGCTTTTCCTGTGTGATCAGTGTGTGGACAAATTGAAACTGTAAGAAGTGTGGATGATGACACTTGTATGTTTAGAGGAGCTGTTTTCCACCTCAGGAGGTAGCAGACACAAACCCTATTGCCTTTTCTGTGGAATTTTTTTCAGGCTTTTGATTTTCTCCCTCTAAATCTCTTAATATATATGATACCTGCAAATTAATGTCATTTTCAGTTTACTTATAATTTTTGTGTAACTTTGAGTAGCGAGAAGATTTCAGTTTCAAGCCACTAACAGAAGTAAAGTTCAGTGTGCCTCATGCAGTCATACCCTCCATGTACAAAAGAAAGCGGCCATTGATGGGAGAAGCTTGTGACAGATGTTGCAGAGAGAGTAAGGTATTCTATTCCACTTGTATGTTTAAAAACATTTTGCTTATCCTTCGTTGAAAGGATGGGTTAGTAGGAGGCAAGCAAGTCTACAAATAAACACCATTTTCTAGGCACAAATTGATCAATTAAAGGATATTTCCTTTCAAATATATATCTGTGTTTCTTTCAAAACTTTTTGTGGAGCAAAAGTATTTTACATTTGTTGCTATATGAGAAAGAAGAATAAAAACTGATTTTGTAAAAAAAGTGAAAGAAAAAGAAAAAAAGATGTGGCACTAAAACAGTGACAAAGCCACATAATCCAAACTTTTTAAAAGGCTGATTCTGGAATCCAGACCCAAATACACAGCTGATCAGTAATCCTTTTTCTGTTTTTAAAACGTACTGCAAATTTATCAGCTCAATATTTATAAAATCTGTAATCCATGAGTTTTTTTCTAAAGGCTAAATCATTTGATAAAAACATTCACCACCCTTTCCTCTTACTATGATTGTTTTGTAGTTGTGAAAATTAATTGTGTAATTCTTCTTGGCAGATACTCTATGAGGAAGGGAAAGTTTCATGGGGTATACGCAATGTTCTTAGCATGGACCTTTTTAGAAAGTAAGCCTAACTATTAAATCCTGAGAATCAAATCACCAAAACCTAGGATATTTCATCAGGAGCCCATAGTTAAGATAGTGTTGTTTTAAGAAAGTAAGCTTAAAATTTAAATCCTGAGAATTCAAATCACAAAGCCTAGGATATTTCATCAGCAACCCATACTTCAGATGGTGTTTCTTTGTCCATCCATTTTTCTTTTTTCTGAGATGTAGTTCTTGCTGGATGGATGAGGTTTTATTTTGCAACCTCTGAGAAGAAAAATACCATGTTGATCACTAAATGTAGCAGTTTGTTACACTTAATTAATGTTGCAGACAGAATTTCTTAAAAAGAAGTTTCTGCCATATTGCTTTTGTGTGGAACTGTGACATCAGTCATCAATATCCTGATGTGAAGAAGGATGTTTTACATTCAGCCAGGTGAGATTATGGAAGCTGTCAGTGTCTTAATTAATTGCTTCAATTTTGCATGAAAATTTGCATTTTTTTATATTATTAAAAATTTTATAGATTGCCCTTGTATGGAAAAAAATTTTGCAAAATAAAAATTTATCTCTTGTCAAATGAATTCCGTTGGGTGCCAATCAATTGTCAATTTACAGTATATTCTTCATTTTCCATCTATTCATATATTGTAGTTAGCAATACTATGTTGCGTACGATGCACGATACTATGTTGCGTATGATGCGTAGTATTATGTATATATGAACTTCATATATACATAATACAATGTTGCCTTCCTTGTTTATGTCTTGCTACTTGGAGATGAAAGTGCTGCAAAAACTTCTTAGTTACCACATCTTTTTAGCAAAAATTTCTAGAGGATTTACAAGATTGTTACACAATCATTATAACTGACTCATTAATATTTTTTTTTATATTTATTAGAGTGAAAACCTCCATTCTCTCTCCTGCTATGCAAGAGCCTCCATCATCAGGTGTTTAAATTGGTCAAATTTGCAGTTTAATCAAAATAATATACCAGGCTCTTTTAGAATAGATGAAAAATTGTATAATTTTGCCATTAAGTTTTATGGGTAAATCAGGTTGAGTTAATTTCAAAAGTATCAGAAAAAGAATTATTGATCAATTTGGAACAGTATGGTTTTATGAATTGTGACAAAGAAATGCAGTGGTTGACACATAGGGAACTTTTCAGCCCTTAAAACTTAACTTTGTAATTTTTAATACCAAGTAGGGACAGTAACTTAGTATATTATATTTTTCTTATTCAGAACTTATAAATTATTGTCTACAACATCTTAGTACCCAAATTCTGAGTAAGAGCTCCCTATACAGATGTAACAAGTTTGTGCCCTTTTTCAACAACAGGTCAGGACATCAAAACTGTAGAAAATGAAAGATGGAAGAGAATCAATACTGCTGAAAAAAAGGCAGTTAATATTCTGAATGGGATGGCTGCAGTGGTTTACAGGAAGTTTGTAAGGTAATAAAATAGCATGTTAGCCAATGCTATTTTTACAGTTAGCTGTTAAAAAAAAGAAAAAAAAACAATTAGGCTTCATTTGGTTTCATTTAAGTTGCATGTTCAAGTACAAGTGGCAGAAGTGGCTGTCAATATGCTGAACTCTGGGCTGTAATGTGTTCAGTTTAGATAATTCATCTTTTAGTTTCAATGAAACTGAAAGATTATTGTCTGATAGTGTGTCAACTTGGTCTTTTCCAGGTTCACCACTTGGTTTCTTTTCAAACTATTCAAAAGATTGTTATTCAGTATACAAATTCAAAGAGGACAAATTGACATCTTGAAAGAAGCTTCTCAGGTAAGCTACTTAAAAATCATACTTAGTCTATTGGTTTATTGTTCAGATGTTCATTAGTGCTACTGATCCAAAGGGATCACATTCTTCTACATTGTAAGTTAGGGATAATTGCATTAGGAGCTGTGGCTTTATGACAAGACTGAACTTATAGGAAACATTATCTTGTATTCTGTAGGCTAAAATCTTTGTGAAAAGGCACACAGAGTTTAGGTTTTTTCTTCATTTGTGTTGCCAGGATGACAAACCTCTTGTGTTCCTACCACTTCATAAAAGCCACATGGATTATATTCTACTGACGTTTGTGCTTGTTACATGTGATATTAAGGTTGGAATACCATAATAATATGTAATTACCACTGTTCCCATTTTTTTGCCTGTTATAGAGTAAGAATTGATCTTTACATGTCACATCATTATTAAAACAGCATGATATTTTTTAAAGCAATTCATCAGCAATTATTTCAAAATTTTCAAAATTCTCATAATTATCTTTATTGAGGGAATCTTGGTGTAGTTGTTTGGGACATAAAGAATTTCTCTTTTACATGCTCTACTTTTAGTGTGTACTCCTAAGGATGAAAGAAAGTTAGATCAATGTCATTTACAGTGACATTATACTCAGGTAAACTGCATGCTTGAACCCAGGATTGACAGTTACCCAGGCATGTAGTCAGACCTCCCTAGTGAGGAAAGTCCTCAAAAGCTCTGTTGTTAGTTTTGTGACAGTAACTGATGTATCAACAAGCAGAGCAGAAGTCTCTTAGCCATCAATATCATGGCATATTTGAGAAGTTAGTTTTTACTAAACAGACTTCCCTAGCAAATGATTCAATTCCTCATTTGACTCTGAGAATGACTTATCTGTTCAGGTTGGTGAAAACTTCAAACCATGTTACCTACAACAGTACTTTGCAAGACAACTAGATTGTACAACCACCGACATAACTCAACCTCTTGCTTGTAGTGGTACCTTACTTTGACTGTGAGGGAGGCTTCCAAGAAAATGTTAGATAATTCACATTAAACAAAGTTATTCTTATTGAGTATTCTCTTTTTTTTCTCTTTCTCCTTGTTATTTTCAGGTTCCTCATGTGGCAGCAGGAGGTATACCAAAGAGTTTTTGTATTGACTTTTTCCAACATGGTTGCAGCTTGAAGTGTTGTTACTCAATATACTATCTATTCACAACAGTGGTAATTATTATGAGGGCATTTCCTTTTGTTTGCAGATAACTTGAACATACCATTTTTGGGGTGGATTTTAAGACATTTAGGTGGATTCTTTATCAAGCGTAAACTGGATCATTCCTCTGGGAAAGATGAGTTGTACAAGTGTATCCTTCAAGAGGTAAGAATTCAGTTTGCAAGTTTTCTCATTACACACTGTCAGAAATCATGAGCTCAGGTTCAAATATGTACCTTTTATGTTTGTAGTATGTGGAGCAGCTTCTTCAGAATGGACAGTACCTTGTATTTTATATAGGTATGTTTATCCTATGATCTCACCTTGAGTCTGTAAATGTTAATAGTCTTTATAAACATGCAACCTAATCATTATTGGTTGCTTAAGTTGTGACAATCAACTCTAACTCAGCAGAGTTGCATGAGCACTTGTAAAAGGGTCACAGACATTTTTGACGGAACACTTATTAAATCCTCAATGGTAGCTCTAAAAAAGGCTCAAATTATAGAAGATTTGTTAGTTATCTCATTTTTAACTGTCTTATTCCCTATTCTACCTTTTGACCATTCCAATGTCTTTCTCAATGCTAGAGAGCAATCAAAACATTTTCTTTGCAATAAACAATTTGTTGAAGATCTCTTTCTTTTCTAGTTTGTAGCATGACTCTTTTTTCTTGCATGTACCTCTAGAGGGTAGTAGGTCAAGAAGTGGAAAAGCCATGGTTCCAAAGTCTGGTCTTCTCTCTCTGGTTGTCAACTCAGTCACAGAAGGTATTGCATTGGCCTTGACCAGTTGAAATCCATGTCATAGTTTGCTACTTTCTTAACTGTCAAGAATTAATTAGTTCTGCTTATATCATTGTAACAGCCTATGTGCTATATCAGAAGCATGTGGCCAAGGTGTTATGCTTCTGGCAATATTTTAAACTTGTATAATTTCTCTTGATTTTGTTTTCTATCAGGTGTAGTACCAGATGTGAATGTTGTTCCAGTAAATATCTCTTATGAGAAGGTAGAAGTGCAATTTCACAAAATAAATTATGCTTTCAAGTCAATAAGAATAAAGTACCTTTTAGTAGTCCAGTTAGTCTCTTGTGAAGTTTTTCTTTTCTTTTATAATCCAGAATGTTGCCTTTATAGTTGACTGCAGTTTCTCTTATTTTTCAATCCAGGTTGTGGATTCAGGTTACACTAGGGAACTCCTGGTCAGTGTGTTTTAAATGTCAGGCAATTCACCCTGTACTATCCCCCAGCATAAGTTTTGCTTTGTATTGTTGATAATTACTAAAAAACAAAGAGCCATCTTTAAGAGAATGTGTCCATGTGTCTGCAGGGTGAGTTAAAGACGCCAGAGTCATTCTGGAGCACACTGAAAAGCATCTGGCACGTCATCGGAACAAGATATGGCAATGTCAGGCTTGACTTCGGCCAGCCATTTTCTCTCCAGGTTTGTGTGCTTTGTTTAAAATCCTTAGTGTTTTCTTTTTTTACGACTTCATGAACTTGAATGAGAATACATCTTTACTCCTAAATGGTTCTAAATATTGACAAATTTTTGAGATTCGAAAATCTGACCCAAACTTTTCAAGATAGACAAACCATGTAGTCACCATGGTTATCATGAAAGTAAAAAGCAAAGAGAAAAAAAATTACAACTTGTAAGCTCAACTTAGTTTGGTCAGGAATTAATTGCTAGTTTAAGGTGAGGTAGTTTTTTTAATGTGAAAAATATCGTCAGTTGTTAAACGTATTTGTAATGTGTTTGATTTCTCTTAATGCTTCCATCAATAGGAATTCTCCCAAGCCATGGACCAATCTCAGCCAATGCAGGAATTTGCTGCAAAATCGTTAGCTAGAGCATCCGATATCTCGTCACCCAAGTCTTCTCTTGTGCGGAACCACTCTGAGGTCTCGCTAAGTGAGTTAGGTGATGATAAGTGTTTCACCCTCACCAAGGCTCTTGGATATCACGCCATTCGTGGTGGGTTATGAAGTTTAATTCTGGTTTTCACTGTGTAGACTGAGTGTAGTGCTTTGTGTATCTTCGGTGTTTGTGGCACAAAAAGTATCTTCGAAATGTCTGCACAATCTTTCACTATCTTAAATATATATTGGTTTCACTTTTCCTCTGACACTCCACGAAAGAATCATGGATCATTTAGAGGAGTGTCTGAGAAGTAGCCTGTGAATGCTTGCCCTCCTTGATACCATATAAGGACATTTGTGAAGAAGGGAGAAGGGAGGAGGAGAGGGGGGGTCTTGGGCTAGGATACTGGGGGCCAGTCAGGTTCATCGTTCAAACCTTTGCTACACCAAAAGAAGAAACTTTTCACCTTTGACCTCCTTTATTTCCTCCGTACTTACAACGAGGTTGAGTAAACTATGTTTTAAGACCGGTTGGAGTTCATGAGAACGAGGTATCTCGACAAAGTAACGTTTGTTCATGCATCTCGATGGAAAAGTATCTGAGGGTCAATGTGGTGGGACTCAATATGTTGTCAACTTCTTCTTACTAAAAAACCACTCTTACTATCTTGTCGTTAGATTCCGCGAACTGCAGTGCAGTTATGAGTACCAACATGGTCGCCTTCCTTCTCATGAACAGTCATAGGAAGGTAAGTTGTTGGAATTTGTAAATTATTGAATCCTATTCATTTTGTTGATTCAATGAGCCTATTTCTTTAGGGTGCCACATTTCAAGAACTGTGTACGTCCTTTGACTGGTTGTATAGGGAAATAACCTCACGAGGAAGGTAAACAACTTTTATTGTCGGTAACTCTAAAGAGAACGAGATATGCTTGTAGGTATCAAAGATTACTTGTGGTGCTTTGAAGTAAGACGTTTTTCTCACTTAGAAGATACATTGAAAAAATTTGTGAACATTGTTAAGTGAAAGAGGACTGATACCAATGGTTTTCTCCTGTTCCCCTTTTCTATTAGTCCCCTTGTTTCTTAGTCGAGTGGATAAAACGAAGAGCCATAACGTAGTAAAGTTTGCTGGTTACGTTCAGTATTGTCATAATTACTACAAAATACCGGCATTTATCTTCTGTTTTCAAGAGATGTCGGCTTTTCTGGGAAGACTGCAGCCGTTGTCAGTCATGCACTGCGACTTTTGGACGATGACGTGACATCAACGGAATCGCGGACAGGTCCTCAGAAGGATACAGTGGAACAAGTTCAACCCAAGAATGGTTTGCCTCATATTCTGAATCTGGCATTTTACAGTAATCAGGTAACTCACCGGACATGCAAATGTACTTAGTCACGACAAGCCATGACACTCTTTGTTTGTCCTGTCGTGGGATCAATTCTTAACCTTAAGAGCAATTTTCAATCGAGTGTCGAAAGTAGTTCGGAATTGCCTTGTTTTTACCTAACTTTGCTTTACGATTGGTTCTAAAATCTTGCGCCATTCTCGCAACTAATCAGTGGCAAAACTGAAAACAAGCGCGACTTATATGATACTAATATGATGTTTATTCAAACGTTTTGTAGAGAGCCGTGAATTACAGGTTTGTCACAATGAGATGTTGTTAAGGTTGAGAACAGACGTCGGCATTTTCTCAGGCGCCTCTGGCAGCTGCTTCAGTCCATATCGATCTCACCTTCCCACCCATCCCACCCCAGGGGAGGACATCCATCACACAGTAATCTCGTGTTTGGGAAATTAACGTCTCCTACCCCAACCCTGCAGGAAACGGGACCTCCATTTATTCGTTCCTATCCGAGAAGACTAGAATATCTAACCATTTCTTGATGTTATAGAAAGGTAGCAAATTCTTCTCAATTATTTTAAGACCTTGAGTGTTGGTCCGGCCGGGGCTCGAACCCTCGACCTCCCACACAACAGTCCAGCGCACTATCCATTGGGCTAACTGGGCGGCGGTTTTTGGTTACGACTTGGTCACACTCGCGTTTTCCCGCGCTTAAAGCAGTTTGATTGTTTTGACTTTGAGTTCTCATTGGCTCATGATAATCTAAACCTTTGTTCCGATCAGTCACTAGAATTATTTTGGTTTGGCTTTTGGACTCTCAATTGAAAACTGCTCTAACTGGTTACTTTTCGTTTCGTTTCAGGTTGTTTCAGTATTTTCCCTGGACGCTGTTCTTGGTAAGCTAAGGTTCTGTCAAAGCTGGAAAACTTGAGTTGTCTCATTCGAGTATTGTAACAACCCAATAATTGAAAATATTCCTTAAATGTTTAGCTTGTGCTATTATCGCCGCCGCAGAGGACAGTGAATCCTTTGACATAAACGACATCGAAGGACAGAAGATAATCACCCAGACATCGGTATGTGAGTTTTGACTCTCATTGCTTTGTAACATCTTGCCTCTTATTTAAATCTTTGTAAATGTCTGGTCCTTTTTCGTAACTAGATCTTGAACACGTCAGCCGAGGTATTCGCAGTCAAAATAGCAGCACTGATTTTCTCTACTGTCGCTTCATGATTGAAGGAATTCACTTTTACCCTCTCCTCTTGCAAAGCCGTTTAAACACGACTTTTCAAACTAATTGACGACTCATTATCGACTGAATTGACATAAGTAGACTTGCCTTTGAAAAAAAGAGATAGTCTCGTCGCAATTTTGGTCGAATGGAGTCTCTAAACTTTTGTCCCTCAGGTCTGGAAAAGTGTGATGGCGATTAATCTCTCTCATCAAGTTGTATTGTTGTCCGTCCTCAGTAGCTTTAGATTGTTCTGTTTACTCTTTGATAATGCTGTTCACGTTAACCATTTGTCTCTAGATAGTAGGAAAGGCGAAACATTTGTGCGATGTTCTTCAGAGAGAGTTCATATTAATTCCGGTACGTTGACTTCTTTTACTGAGTAGCTAAGGAGAAATATCGCGGAAAGGAAGAAAAGTATTTTGCTTTTTACCCAATATTTAGTGAGTGGACCCTGTGCATAATTAAGTCAAGTCCTCCTTTTCCTTTCCCTTTTCCTTCCCCTTTTCCTTCCCCTTTTCCTTTCCCTTTTCCTTCCCCTTTTCCTTTCCCTTTTCCTTTCCCTTTTCCTTTCCCTTTTCCTTCCCCTTTTCCTTCCCCTCTTCCTTCCCCTTTTCCTTTTCCTTCCCCTTTTCCTTCCCCTTTTCCTTTCCCTTTTCCTTCCCCTTTTCCTTTCCCTTTTCCTTTCCCTTTTCCTTCCCCTTTTCCTTCCCCCTTTCCTTTTCCTTTTCCTTCCCCTTTTCCTTCCCCTTTTCCTCCCTCGCCCCACCCATCTCTCCCTTTTTCGCTGCATCCACTTTCTGCTACTCCTACTCCTTGTCCTTAGTAACTTCAACTCCCAGTCCTCAGTCACCTCTAACCTCCAATCTAGAATCACAGCTCTTAAACCACGGGACAGTGTCTATGGTTGGACTTAAACTGAAAAGATAAGACTTTATTGATTATTTGTATTGAAAGAAAAGATACTTTCATTAACCAGTACGCACTCAGTAAAACTCAGCTGAAAAGCGTTATTGGAAGTTCACCGTTTGTGTATTTTCAGCCATGTGTGTCCCTAGAGTCTGCTCTGACAGAGGGACTGGACAAATTTACATCCAGTGAGACCATAAAGATCATAGCAGAGGTATGTAGTTATACAACAGTTTGAGTAACAGGAGAAATAAAGGCACTCGTTAGACTGTGTCTTTCTTAGCCTTTCCAATTGCGTTTTCTCTCCAGTTATTTGGCAAGTGCATTTCTTTCAATTCCTTTTCTTTTCTTTGTATAATTTGCTTCATTTTCTCGACAGAGCAACTCCACCAGTTCTCGAGGCAGTCAATGGGGATGGGATGACGACGATGAGTACATGCGAGAATTTGACGTCACGGAGATCGAGTACAAGGTAAGTTTTATTCTTTTTCCTTTCAGCGATATCGATGCAAATAGTTAAGAGCTGGGCTGTCGAATAAAGAAAGACGTTGTCCATAAGTCACGAGCGTGGGTCAAAGGAAACAATTTGAGTCCTGCTCCAGGATTTTAATCAAGCTCAGAGTTGCGGATTACGTGGTTATTTGCGTCACTACAAAATAAAAGAGAACTCGATGGTGAGCAATGTCATAATGACATACAAGGTCTACATGTGACAAGTGTCCCGCATACAGCTGGGGTCAGCAAAGTGTTTGTTAGCTTAGAATCTAGATTATTTTGTATGTGCCAATCCGCCACAAAAGTTTCAGAACAGACCGGTACCGCCTTTCGTGTAACAGGACAATGTTTCTCACAGTATCGCAAAGAGTTCGTTTGGTGAAAGGTGCTTAACGGTATTGATCACTGTCCCGTTAGAATGACCAAACCTATAGTGCACGTTATACGATCTGAAAGAAATGAAAGAGATTTGTCTTAAAAGACTGAATAAGCTATTAACAACATGTTTAGTTAGTAAAAGGTCCCATCTTGTTCCTTACACTTTTCAGATAATCCCATACTAGAATTTTTTTGCTTGCAAACAACTAAATCAGTTTCTGTATTTTTACTTTTTTGCTTATGACGCATTTTGGCAATTCACTTACCTCAGCTAACCAATGTAGATGAGCTACTGAAGAAGCTGAAGTTTCTTAAGTCAGTGGTTGCTCCGTTGATAGAATCATACTGGGTAGCAGCCTGTGGTTTACTTTGGCTCAGAAACCAGACGTTTTCAGGTAAACACTTTATATGATTTTTTCTAGTATTTCAATACTTGATGGATTCGGAAAGTTGTGTCAAAATTGGTTTCGTGATAAACCTTGAGTTGAATTTTCTTCGCTAACTCCTTTATTTCCTTTATCTTTTTCTCTTCTTTTTCTTCTTTCTCTTCTAAAACACAACAACCTACTGCACCTTTTTATATAGTTCCTTGCAATCTTTCTAGAAGATTCTACTTAAACAATAGAGTGTTTCTGTCGAGGAACTATCGGCTGATAGTTGCCCTGCGGAAATTTGATGTTCTTAAAACAAATATTTGCCCGAGAAGCGAAGCTTCGAGGGCAAATATGCTAGTTTTAAGAACATCAAATTTCCAAGGGGCAACTATCAAACCGATAGTTCCGAGACATAAACACTCTATTGTTTTTATTGTTCACCACTAAATTTTCTTCCGCGCCTACAGCTTGTCACAAATGTCAATAATTCGCAACCGTACATTGGCTAAATAATACGTTATACCTGTCAGAATTGAAAAGTCACTGTTTTTCCGATCTGCCTAACTTCGCGGCCGTCAAACTATTCAAAACTTTTCACGGATGAGTACTATCAATCCAGGTATTTTCCGCGGACGGGCACTATCCATCCGGGTATTTTCCGCGGGCGGGCACTATGGGCTGATAGTGTCTCTCCACGGATGAACACTATCGCGTCACGTGATCGATTTAAACCAATAAGAACCGGAGAAAATTTAGTGGTGAACTATAAACT